GTTATTTCTAGCGTTGTTTCTTGCTTACACCAATGGCGCGGCTCGATTATGTCGTGAGCTGCTGAGGGCAGGTGGAAGCCTGGCAACCATTAACAAACATGGGGTATCGATATTTAATGCACAAGTACCAACGAAGAAGCTTCTCTATACGTTACTTGGTGAGTGCAAATGAGGGAGGGGAAGTTGTGCGGCTGGTACTTACTGTGGTTGTTTTCTGAGACTAATACATTGAAGAACCCTTTTTTCCCAAAATTTGGTCGCGAAGATCAAGTTTGCTCTCGGCGAGTTGTCTTTCGAATAAAAAATTTTCAGTTTGATTGAAGTAAAGGAACGGATCCCATGACATGACATCGTCGCTTTCACGTCCTCCTCAACGGCTTCAAAGTTAAGTTTCAGGTGCCACATTGGCGACTAAGTTTCATTGCCTCTGTGTGACATTTTAAGAGACTCGTCGCAAGGATTGTGGACAGGGACTTTTACCTTCTATGTGCAGGCCTTAAACACATACTCAGTTAGCTGAGAAAATGCAATATTTGTGATGTCTAGGGAGCACTAACTGTAATGCACCGGCACAAGTGCACGTCCATTTCTGACAACTTATACTGATGTACATTTAAGATATGCTGAACGCCGAGCCACAGTGGATTGACGGACCAGTGTGTCACGAATGTTCAATCAAATTCTCCGTCAAAACTAGAAAACATCATTGGTGAGTCTGGAATAAGGAACCACTAAATAACGGTTTGGTAGAAACTATCCATCCTTAATTGCTGATTTGTGTGTCTGTTTTTGTTGGTGTAGTAGTGATTTAACCCACTGAGCTTAAGTATCTACCTGGTAAAAAGTTGGAACTTGTTGAGATTTTGCGATATGTAAAGATGAATAAATAACAAAGTTGTCTTCATTTTAGGGTTATAAAAACATGTAAGACGACTTTTTCTCCTAACACTCATTACCTGCTGGCCTATCAGAATGTCCGACAAAGGATGTCAACTTCGCTCATTTGTTCCTTTGATTTTCTTTAACATTATATCTTCGTTCGTTTTCTCCTCAGTCGCCACTGTGGCCGCCTTTTATGTGCCAAATGTTCGTCCAAACAGATACCCATCATAAAGTACGAATTGACCAAGCCTGTGAGAGTTTGCAATGTTTGCTTCGAAATGCTGACCTCTGGAGTAAGCTAGTACATTACTACCTCGAAAACTTAAACGTATCGCCTTTGCAAGTCAATAACATTATGCGGGTGGCACATGCATGACCGTAGAAACGGAGAGCGCTGTCTAGAAACGTGGATTTTTTTTGTTTTTGGAATTTAGTTAACGCAAAAAATCAGCCAACTGATCAAGTAAGTGCTTTTTTCCTACTGGGATACCGTATTTTACACCATTTTTTAATTCGCTCCTTTACAATCAGTATGGATGATAAAAAGGGACAAGTTCCCCCTAATTTGGTGTTTGGCAGTATGTTCTTCAGATGTTTTTGTTTCCTCTTCCTTGAACTTGATGTTTACTTAGCGAGTAACTTGTCCAGTTAAGGCACCTATTCAAACAATGTGTTACGTTGTATTACTTTGTTTTCTGCGCTGTGGCTAATTTTGCTTTCGTTCCTTAAAATATCTGAATCTCCACAAGCATCATGTTTTCAAAGGTGAGGAATTCATGTTTTAGTTCACCAGAATCTTCAAAGTGATGACTGAGTAATAAAATATCAGGAAAACCCTAACTTGTGACAAACGTGGTGCACAATGTATGAAATGGTTCAAGCCTGAAATCGTTTCTGATGCGTTTTCCGTTTCTAAAGTGGCCTGTGTATGGCTTGCTCTGACGGAAGAAAACATAAACGTCGCATTCGGCTCGCCCCTATAGCCATCGATTGCACTTAGTTTGGTGAGCACTTCAAGCAGGAGTCGTTTTGCGGCATGTCAGTGTTCAACGCGTCAAAGCCATTTTGTCCTGTGACTTTATAGTAGCTTCCTTCGCGACGTGAAGTTTCGTTCAAGAAGGAATTTCTACATATACGTAGTTGTTAGTTTTTTGAGCAAGAAGAACAACTAAGGGTACAAGTCCAAAGAGAACAAAGATGAATGACGATGAAGAAGATGGCAGTCCATTATAAATGAAGAAATTGAAAATTTTAGGATATATTTTTCAAAACGCCGTGACTAACTCCTAGTTAACAAGCACGGACACATTTCTAGACTGAATCCTTAAATAGATTCACAGCGAACAACTGATAGAACTAGGTAAGGGATTTGTAATTTGAAATGTAGCTTAGTTTAAAATGAGTTTGTCTTATTGTACAGAATTGATAAGTTCTTTAGAATAAATCAGTATTTCCTGAAAACGTGAGTGTCGTCTCGTAAGCTTAGTCAACCAGGTAAGTTCGTACGAAAGAACAGGGTGATCAGCAGTTGATCATTATCAGTCCGTGGCGCCATCCTGCGATAGTTTTTCTCACCAGACATATGCAACTGTGTAATGGTGTAACTGTTGCATGAATAGAGAGCTGATAAAAATTTTACGATTTGTCAGTGGTGACCACATCAGCTATCTTGCCGAAGGCCGACAAACAGAGATATTATGATATTTTTTGTGGCAACCAAGTGCTTAAAAGATCAATACTCTCTCGTTTTATTTTAATACAACCCTCTATAGCGATGTTCCAACAAGCGCAGTTTAGTGGCTTTAGTACTCTTTTCTTTATTCGTTATCTGAGTTCAGTAACTTACTTCTTCTTTAATCCACTAACAAGTCTTCTGCTAAGAGGTTTTGCATTCCAGAGAGCTTGGATTTGAATATGCAAGTGCAAAATTCGAAAAGGGAAAATAGAACGGTAATACGCATGAGCAGACCGTTATTTGAAGATTAAATTTATTTGCAAATCATGAGGCGGTCTCTCGCCCGATAAAGGAAAAGGTGAATGGGATATTAAAAACGAAGTACCGATGTCTAATTTTTCCGACCCTTTTTGTTTTTACATCACTTGGTAGTCTTCGGATCTCGAGCTCTCCCAGTCCGTCTTCGTAGCGATAATACGTTTCTAAGAGCTGACTTTCGGCACTATTATATGGGTGAGACACTTTAGCCATGGATTTTCGTTTTATTAGTTGGAATGAATGATATGTCAATTAGCTGTTCAGTTTCTATTTAGCCATCAGATGGTTGGATTAAGACTCCAATACGACATTTTACCTTACCTTGGTGGCTTCGTTGGGAGAAATATCGCGACTATTGATTGAGCGTCTCAAACCATAACGAGGTTATCTAACCATCAAGAGCGGGAGACGGGTTTTAAGTGATCGCCCAATCTCGAGCCCTCGGCTCCTCGTCATTGGCGTGGTTGCCTGACCAAACCACTGTGAGGGGGCCGAAAAGATTCAAGGGTTTGAGGGGAAAAGGGGATAAAATTACAGAAAAAAACACTGATCAACCAAGGGAACAAATAAAGTGTCAAATGAAATAAGTGATGATCGTGTCTTTCTATATTCTTTTCATAGCTGCCAAATCACACTGCAGGGAACAGTAGAGCGGTCTTTTACATGTATTGATGTTTATCAAAATATCCCTTCTAAACATCAGCGCTATACAAAATCTGAATTTTGAATAGAAAACAAGCCAGCTTAAACAGTAATATTTATCTCGCTGAAAATCACGTCGGTCTTGAATCTTCAACTGTAGAGGAGGAGTGTGGTTTTTTTTATCCTTCCCATTTTGTGCATTGTCTTTGAAGAATCTTTATTTTTTTTTTGTGGCTTGTTACATGGTACATTCTGTTTGTTGTGAAGATGTGTATCGGATAAAAAGGGCTATTGGTTATCAAATTATTATGAGGCTCCTATGTGATGTGCGATACCGTTCCTTTTGCCTTCACTGAAAATGGAAAGAAATTACTGTGAGAATAAAATATTTGTTGAAGGTATTGAATGTCTTTGAATCAGCTTGGTTTGCTTTAGGCGTACGGCCTACATATTTCATATTTCATTGAAACTCTTGAAGTCAACACTGAGTGGGAGAAATGGTGATAAGAAAAAAAAAACTGTAATAGTATCTTTAAAAAGTTTTATTGATAAAGGCTTTTTAAATTCATTGAAGCGGGTTCTTTCAAATTAGTTAAGTCGGAGATTGAATCTGTCTTTCCGGCAACAGTTGGTACATGCTATGCTTTTTCCCAACAAGTGGTATTCAAAACCGGATAAAAGGATGCACCTCGCGCTAAGATAGCTGTGAATAGAGCGGAATATTGGACACAAATATCGATTTCAAAGAAAAAGCCGACAATTATTGATGTTTAAAAATATCCGAGTTTATCAGCAAACAAGCTTCAAGAGATAGAATGAAGGCACGTACTGCCGAGTGTCTTGATCAAGTAGTGCCTGGGTTTTAACGATCTTTTTATCAAAAACTCGGTTGCGAAATTAGAATTCACGCGAAGTGGTTGATAGCAATTTTTGGAAGATGTACGTGCACTCGCTTTTAGTGGAGAAAGACGTAAAAGTTTTTTTAGCTCCGTCATCAAATTGCATTATTTGCGAAGAGAAGAGACTTGATATGCGTAAACTAAATAATGAATTTAAATAAATGAAATATGTACAAATCACCTCACTTTGGCGAGGGAAGAAAAAAATTTAATTGAATTGAGGAAAGGTTTATATAAGTTATAATATCAGAAATATAACTATGACAAGGTAATGTGATTTTGATGGCACCTTGAAGACAGTTCAGGCGTCCGGAAGGCACGTTCTGTGAAACATCTATAATAAACGGTAATCATTCTCAAAATTGGAACAGTCACTCTTATATATTTACGTAGATTGTCACATCTCTTGATAATATATGGAAATTGCTTCGATTTCGAAAGGTACGCAAGGAAATGTGTGTTTCTTTGCACGACGTGTAAAACGTGACAGGATTTCTTCGTTATTGTTGTTTTTATTAAATTTCCTAAAGCTTTTAGAGTTGGAATATATATGGAAGTATTTTCATGTTTTGTATGTCACTTGGCGGGACGTGAGTTATTTCCAGCTGTGACGTCATCATTAACTTGATCTGAGCAATTCACCGTGAATTAATACCCGTATGAAGTCGGTCACAGATCACTTTCTGTGTCTAACGGGAAGGAAATTGACATGAGGTGAGTGAAATTTTGCTTACATACTAATATTTGACCTTTGCAGTGAAGGGTCTAGAAATTGTTCAGATTCAGATATTTAACATCGGCTATTGAAGTATCAGCATTTATATTTAGGGAAATTTCGCACCCGTCCTTAAATTTTTCCAGTATAATTAGGTCACTAGTCTGTGGTTGTGTTCTTGACAGAATATGAAACTCACTCTTCTCACTGTTTTCTACGAGCTCTGCTAGATTTTTTAATCTTAATCATTTCTGCCTTTAAATTTGGGCTCTGACCATTTGCACGATTCAGACAAGAATTATCACTAATTATAGTTTTGAATGTTTTCCGCTTTAGGAAGCTACAAAAACGTCAGAAATTCTCAAGAAAGCCTTTTTCATTTGATGCGTTCGCAAAAATTGTCTTGTTCTATCATTGTAGGCGTCTTATATTATTACAACGCATTTTTTTCTATGTATTTCGCAATATGTGAATTGACTCGTGAACGAAATTGAAATTGAAAATTTGGGCTCTGACCATTTGCACGATTCAGACAAGAATTATCACTAATTATAATTTGAATGTTTTCCGCTGTAGGAAGCTACAAAAACGTCAGAAATTCTCAAGAAAGCCTTTTTCATTTGATGCGTTCGCAAAAATTGTCTTGTTCTATCATTGTAGGCGTCTTATATTATTACAACGCATTTTTTTCTATGTATTTCGCAATATATGAATTGACTCGTGAACGAAATTGAAATTGAAAAGAGCAAGGGTTTGTTTTTTTTCGTAATGTTTCGTTTGTTGTGCCCACTACATAAATATAACTTGCCATTTATAGATTTTGAAAATCCTTGGAAAAATGCGTCTAAAAAGTTTCTCTTTTTAGCTCTGTATCCATCAATCGAGGGGGATTATTTTTAAAAAGCGAGTAAACCTTTTTCATTACCGTTCATATATATAAATTATTTTAGCCTACCGTTCTTGTATTTTTAATGTTATTCAACGATCGCTGGTAGCTTTGGCGGATGGAACGTGACGAGAAGAGAGGAAGATAATTATGTTATCTTACAACTAAACATATCTTTTTCATCAAATTGAAACCTTTAAGATCACAAACAAAACCAAATCCAGTCTGTATTTTTGTATCACTCGAAATACATCTGCTAATAAGCGGATGAAATACTTTATATTCATTGTTATCATTAAAACTACCACACAGTGAATGCACTAATATATTTTCAAAGAATGAATTAGCATTGACAGCCGTCTTCAATGCACAATCAATTTTTTCTCGTTAGTAACTTAAGATTCGTTGAGGGATCAAACAGTTTTGATGTGGAACAGTTCACACTGAGTTTATACTTACGCTTCTCCAAACTGTTGAATAAATCTGTCTTAAGTAAAAATGGAAAATGTTTACATTATCTCAGTCCTTCGAAATAATCAAGTTTGTTTTCTTCGAATAATTTCATACGCTTGTATTTGAAATTAAATGGCAAAAACCGCCTGTCATCTTTTTTGATGTCACGCAAACGCTGCGAATTTGTTTGCCTGAAAGATGAATAGAATCACCACAACTTCAACCAAATTTGAATTTCAATGCAGCTTTTTTCTCCTCTGACTTGGAAATTGAATTTGTTCTGAAAAATGTCAATCACCGTGTCACTGAGACAAAGAAAAAAGTCCTCCGTAGTTATTTGAATTCACTCATTTATTTGTTCATTTATTTCTCTCTATTCATTTTTTAATTTATTCTCACTTTAAAGATGCTTGGAAATGATATGAAAATGGGAACAATTTTGTTAAACTCGGAAACTGATTGACCCACTAACGACGAAGGAATAAGACACAATTCACAATTATATCCCTGTCCGGCGTAAACAATGTTTTCATTCCCCTGACGCTTCTCTCTTCCATAATTTGAGGTACCGGTACTTTAAGTTCGGGAGGAATCATTCAAAATTTTGACGAGACAATTTTTTTTTGCTATGCTTCGTGTACCTTCACGGACTTTTTCTTGTGGAGTTTGTTGCCATGAAGTTTTGGTTACTGATAGTTGGAATTCTGACAGCGCGTGAAGAACAAAGCACTGATATTAGTCACTTTTCATTAGTTAGATTACGAGGTGTTAATCTCCGAGTTTGCGCTAAATATTACAGGGCACTTTTGGTCTCGATTTCATTTGTCCAACTGTATTGTCATCTTAGTACAATTGTCACGGTATAATTGAGTCATTCTACGGTAGAAGTTACACGGCAAAGACCGGAAACACGTAAAACTTGTTCCAACTTCATGTTCGATCTCTACCTCGATTTGCCGCTGATTAATCATGATGTAATTGGTTTAAAAGAATGCGATTTGACAACGGAGATACATGAGCCACATACACAACTCACTTAAAACCAAGAGTGGCTCAGATACCAATAACACAATACATCCGGGAAAAGAAAGAAAAAACTGGATTGGTCTCTTGAGACTCAGGATATCGATAGAACACGAAGTACGAATAATAACTGCATCCTTTGACAGTTCCTCTAAGTTATTGTTTGAACAAGTGTTAAATGAAAATGTGAAACTATAATGCTTACAACGCAATTAGCAAAACCGTAATTTTGCGGTAAAATGAAAGAAGTCGGTTCACTCTGTTAACTTTGAGTTGATTTTTCTCATGAGATCCATTGTTCGACCATTAACTGATTTGACGAACGCGTGGTGTCCTCTCGAGTTTTGTTATTATCTAAAAGCTGATATTTACGCAACAATTTGTTTAGAAAACTCCCACTCAAAAGCGACCGGACTGACAAATATACAATGCAGCCAAAAAGACGAGTCAAATGAGGCCACTATCATGGAAAAAGCCGTGAGGTTCGAGAATAAGGAGGACTCTGAAGACGACGAAACTGCTGTCAGACAGAGCCGCTCAAAGCATCAAAGCAGTCACACAAGTACACGCACAGAGGGTAACAGAAAACATGAAAGAGACAATTCTAGTGATAGCATAGAATCTTTGGCAAAATGGAGAACTGTCTCAAAACAAATTAGAAATGTTGTCTTGGTAAAGAACTCTGTGAAGCCTTCTCGCTCTCGAAAGCGTTCGGCTACTGTGAAGTCGCCAGCCACCATGGACCCATTCCTTCAGAAATTTAGCACACGGGATAATCGAAAGATAACTCCACCAAACAGAAAAAGAACGCGAATTTCCAAGAAAAGCTCTTCTTCGCCTGGCGTTTTGTCAAACGCAACCTCTGCACAAGAACCTCGACGACCACGGCTTTCTATAGAAATCGAAAAAGAGCTCGATAGCGAGTTAGCTAGTGGTTCTGTTTACGAATATGACCAAGCAGTTCATTGGAAAGACAAGAATTTTATTTTTGACCCGGATGGGCTACACATTTGCGTCTGGTTTTATGTTCTTGTGTTTGCAATTCGGTACAATTTATGGGCCTTGATTACCAGGATCGCTTTTCCTGCCGCTCAGAGCGGTTTTTTAAAGATAGTGTGGTATCTCTTTGATTATTTTTGCGATGCAATTTACGTTTTGGACGTCGTTATTGCTGCAAGAACAGGTTTCCTAGAGGAAGGCATTCTAGTCATAGATACAAAACGAGTGTATATGCGGTACATTCGCTCTGTGGAGTTCATTGCCGATGTGGTGTCGTTGATTCCAACTGATATTTTATATGCAACATTAGGACCTCTTCCGCTTCTAAGAATCAACCGCATTGTCAAAGGATATAAGAGTTTTCGTATCAAAGCTGTTATGGAGTCACAAGCAAATTATCCTACTTTCTTACGCGTGTTCTTTCTCATGCATCTCATGTTCCTTCTTATTCATTGGAACGCTGCGTTCTATTTCATGATTTCCAGAGCGGAGGGATTTGGGACGAATGAGTGGGTTTATCAAGGCAATGGTTCCTTGTATCAGCAATATCTACAGTCATTTTACTGGTCTACATTAACTCTAACTGCGATAGGAGATTTGCCGCAGCCGACTACAAATCTCGAGTAAGTGATTTGTGTTTCTATTTCAGGTAATTTTAAACTGTGTAACTCATATAGTTCTGTTTAAATGCAGAGATTATAGCAAGTCTTGTCGTCTGACTCTTTGTTTGTTTGTTTTTCTCCGGTGAGAACCAGGTGCTCCACTGTATAATAAGTATGTAAAGTAAATTTTACAGCTCAACCTTAAATGTGTTGGACATTTTCCGAAAAAAAGGCGGTATTTTAAAGAAGTTGTAGCGGGCGAATGACAAAAACAGAAAGCGTTTTCGTTTAACAGTTTTTTCAATACCTTTCTCTCTTGTAAGAATTTAAAATTCTGTACAAGATTTTGCATAATTTTAATATTCTTGATTAACATTAATGCTCTAAAATAGATTGACTAAAGACCCGTAGGGAATTGTACACATGTTGCGGTCAGCTTTTAAGACTTAGGTTTGAGTTCAGTTGAAGATGTACATTAGACTCCTGCGCTATAGCGCCCACGCTACCAATCAAAATGCGACGACGGCTAAGCTTTTATTTCTTTTGCTGCCCTGCACCAAAGAGAAATAGCAGGTGTCTGAAAAAAAAATAAGAAAGTATTAGGGTGACAGCGTAGGAATAGGTATACAAGGGCGACAAAATTGAAAGTTTTATGAATGCAAGTTTTACGTAAGTCAAGAGAACTTGTGTGAGCCTCTTCATCGCAACTTGAGTCAATCTCATTATCAACCCTAACTTAGAAAACCTCCGTATGTAAGTTCTCTTCTTTTGATTTTTTTTTTTTTCATTGCACGAAAGCGCATAAATAAATTCGTTTATCTATCCAAGTTCTTTTGCATTAGATGAAGCCCTGCTGAGATTTTTCCTTACTGCGTTAACTCTTACGAGAAAATGTTTTCGCCCCGCGTTTGTTTCCACCTGCTTCTCGTTTGCACTAAAAAACGCGCGTCCTGTTTGAGCTCAGCCTGGAACAACACTTCCTCAAGTGCAAGTTAGCAATAATCATTCTCGCTTTCAAACGTGGAGCAAAATTGTCACCAAGGACAAGAAAAATAATTTATCAAAAGGAATAAATCGAGTTTACCCTCCGTAGCTTAACAAAGGTTTATTTTACTCTAATGATTGTTCAGGGTTAATTTGCAAACATAAATATTGATCTGGTTTTCTTCCTTCAGCGTCAGTCATGGACATTATGAGGCCCTTTGACAATACGCAGCAATGCCTTTTTTACCTTCCATTTTTTCAACTGACAAATGAATTAAAATCTTCAATACGTTTGCAACATTAATAGAAAAAATATGTTTGGTTCTTGGGATTTCCTCACCTACGCGCAGAAGTAACTTTTAAATTAAGAATCACGATTATTCTTTTAACATGAAAACAAGGTGTGACGTTTGTATACTGCCGAAAGAGATGCACATCAACTCAGGCATCGAATCTCGTTGACTTTCATCAAATTTTGAATTAACAGGGCCAAAAAAGACACGAATTTTAGTCCCCATTTCTGTTTCTATAAACTTATCCAATGTTTGTTTAAGGATTTTCGGTTTGCAGGTAGATTGTTAGGAACCCGGTAGTCAATTTCCTTTCGCCGTTTTGAAAAAAGAAAAAAAGCACTTTTTAGGCTTCCTTTTAATTTATAACAATGGTATTTAATATACATTACGAGCAGGTGTCACAAAGTAGTCGTAACAAATTTCAATTTACATGGCCTGTATCCATGGCCAACAAACGAGAGTGAACGACAAGAGAGAGAGGCTGCTGGAGAAATGTTAGCTTTTCGTCGCCAGAAGACCCAACGAAAGACAGTATAACAAGACGTGAAACTTTTTGTAGAGAATTAGATTGTTTGAGAGCAACTCGTTGCTTTTAAAAGCGGGTATTTAATTCTAAATCAATAATTAAAACTTTGTGGTTCTGTACACTCGTTTTGTTTATCTTTTTTCAAGCGATGCCACCCAGAACTGAACAAAATGACATGAAGTGATGTTTTTGTCAATGCCTCAAACTTGTCAACGCAGTTGAATTTGAAAATAATTTTACGAGCGATAAGCCGGCTTTTAATAATGAAGATGACAGCGATCTTTTCTAAAGCTGGCTTTTGAGAAAAAATGTTAGTGTCTTATGACTCGGCTTAAATAAATTACAAGCCCTTCAGCTTTGTCAAAAAGTTCTGTTAATAACGCTGGAAAGCTATAATGACACTTTACCATTATTGAACTAAAATTCATATAGCCTGCAGTGTAGGCGTCTTCTTAGGGCGAGTTAACGTCAAGAAGCTTGAAGCTATTCAACCGGCCATGTTTATTGAAGATAAAGGCAGCGATGAGGGGAGGGGGCGGAGAAAGGCGCTCACCCCCTTGATACAAATTTGTTTCTCTCCCCTGCTTGCCGCTGTCATTAAAATCAGAGATGGCGGCCACAATTTTCGCTAACTAATACTGAGCACTCGCTCGCCCAAATTACGCCTGCTCTGTGGGCTAAAATTCATATAACATTTACTTCGCTGTTAGCCAAAAGAGAAGACGACATTTGCAATAATTACGTGAATTTTGAAGTACATTTGTGAAGTGTTTGGGAAACATCTCGAACCTTTGGCCAGTTTGGCGAGGTAAAAGCCTCACTTGTACGTGATCTGGCGTGTTAGGCGAATTTTAATGTCGTCAGAGTAGTTTGCAGTTTTCAAAGGATTTTCCCTCCAATTTGAGATTCCTCTGTTTTGCCAAAACGTGGTGGCCACCGACTGTTTCTTGAAATCTACAAAAGCGCTCAAAGTCTTTTGAAATAACAAAAAGAGAAAAGAAAGTACAATAGAAACAGAAGATCTTTTTCAGCCGATTCCGTGTGACTTGAGATTAAGTATATTTAAATGCTGAGCACTACTTGGTTCCCAGATCTCTATCCTTTGCCTCCCCGTGAAGGTAGAAAGGAGGGAGCCTCGAAATGAATTTGATACTCAGACTATGGGCTGTCCTTTTTCCCAGTGTAATCCTTCGCGCCAATCTGAGCGGTTTGAAGAAGCCACTATCCGTAATCTTATTGATGCATGGCGGTGCTGAGAACATTTCAGAATGTCACTGAATTGACATTTTTTCTCATTTTTCAGATATGTTTACACAATCGCGTGCTACTTGACTGGTGTTTTCATGTTTGCGACCATCGTAGGTAATTCAGTTTTATATATTATCAAGTAATCAATACCTATCTGGTGGATTAAGGCATCTTTAAATGATCTTCAGCTCACAAACCATCTTTCGTGCCTAAAATCGTCTGGAGGTCACCGACCTTGTTTTGGATTGGAGACAATCCATATTTATATTACAGACCATAGAGGGCATGTTGTGTAATTGTAGGTTCTCTGCAACAGCCAAAATAAACGTGGATGTAAGCGGACGCGGAAAGTTTCGAGGAAACCTTTTACTTACTGTGCATAGCATGGTATTCAAACCTAGAATGCTGAATTAACATTTAGTCATAATGTGCTTTATCTCGATCAGGTAATGCAGGAAGCATTATTGTGAACAGAAATGCGGTGAGAATGGATTTCGAAAAGCAAAGAGTAAGATTTCTCCTTCCTTAGTTCGCCTTTGTAAAGTTTAAATCTGAAATCTTTTGCTTTCGTCCTGCATCAGTCTCGTTTTACGAACGTTAATTATCTGGATTTTTGCAGGAAAATACCAAACAGTACATGAAGAAACACAACGTGCCTAAAGACTTGCAGAGGAGAGTGGTGATGTGGTATGACTACTCATGGGCTAGGTAGGATAATAAGTCGCTAATTATGATTGGTCCAGAAAACTCGCGTCACTTTTTCAACAAATCAGATTCAGATCGAATTGGTCACACGCGTTTCCCGCGCTTCAGGCAGTTTGCTTGTTTTTATTTCGATTTCTCATTGGCTCCTCCTTATAATTTCCTCGCTTTGATTGGCTGTTGCGTTTACTTTGGTTTTACGACACTCAATAGAAAAGCGCTCTAATCATAAACACTCTTCATCACTAGCCACTGATTATAAATTTATTATTAACGATGTTTTAATTTCATTGAACACTCCACCATCATACTGAATTTGGAAAACATGCTTAACGGTTCAAGTCATATTCCAGTTTGGTTGAGCCGTCGAACAAGTTGAAAATCATCATGTTCTGTTTTAGAGGTAGAATGAGTACCGGTGGAGGAGACCTTAATTCTCTGACGTTACTACCAAGTAAACTGAAGACTGAGATTGCTCTTCACGTTAATCTTGAAACGCTTCGAAAGGTACGATAAGTTGGAGATGAATTATTTTGGGGCTAAAGATAACGAGATTAACATCATGTGAAAACCTTAGAAATTTGCCGTCCGCTGGCTCGTCATCGTAACATAGCGTTCTATGAGACAATCCTCACTGATTTTATTTGTAAACCGCTTTTAGGCAATTTCAAAAATCGAAGAGGCCTGAAACCGTGGCTCCCAAGAGATTATAATCTCTCGGCGCTCCCCTTCCCCTCCCTCAATACCATATTCCTTGCCAGGTCTGTTTTGTACTCTGAGAGTTAGACTTTAGGTCTGCGCAGTTTTCCTTTGAGGATCTATTCCGCGGTCACATTATCATTGACATTTGAGTTATAATATGTGCTTATCTCATGCATGAATTTTTAAGAGAAAATTGTATGCAGATGTTTGTTGGTTTTTTGTTTCCTAATTATATTTTTTAGGTGACGTTCTTGCAAAAGTGCCAGCCAGAATTTCTCCATCTCCTTGTCCTTCAAATGAAGTTGCGAATATTCACCCCTGGAGACCTCGTTTGCAGGAAAGGCGAGGTCGCACGAGAGATGTACGTCATAATCGATGGAAAGATCGAGGTGATAGGGTAAGAGTCATAGAGAACAAAGTTAAACCTATTACAGGTATGCATTCCGAAATCAGAGAAAGTGTCCTCTTTGATAAATGAGAGTTTTTGCTGAAGCAGGTTAAATTAGTGGGGTGTTCATTTGTGGTTGCGGTCATGAGTTGATGTATGCCAACAGGAGATGCCTCCCTATGGAAGTTGTCACTGTCCTGAGGCGGAGACTTAACGGCAAAAGGTTTCATTCTAATGATCTAGTAATTTTAATGCATATATTAACAGGGATCAAGGCCAAGTCCTTAAAGTCTTATCTGGAGGGGACTTCTTTGGTGAGATTGGAATTCTCAGCTTGAGCGAAGGCCAAAATAGGTGAGCATTCCATGTAATAAACGTACGATTGATTGCAGTCTCTCTGTCCTAAAAGCCAGTGTCTACCGGTTTCAATAATAAAGGAGTCTTGAGTATAGTTTACTTCTATATGTAAATTAACTACAGTAGGACATAACGATAGTAGACTACGATCTCAATGGGGGACAACTGGGGTCTGGGCTGACAAAGCGGGGACGGGGGAGGACATCAAGAATAGATATAAAAGAGAAAGTTAACCTCAGAATATTTAGGGCTGTTAACTGTGCGGTCCACTGAAGACTTGTCTTGTTCCATGCAAAACGAAAAAAAGATAACACCAGAGTAGAGAAGTTCACTACTTAATTGTTCTACAGCCAGCAGTACTAAGCGTATAGCACCTATTGACTTGGAAGTATGTACTCCACCGGTTTATTCTTTCCTGACGCTGAACTAGTGAGAATATTTTGTATTCGTAGACGAACAGCCGATGTTAGGACAGTAGGATATGTGGAATGTTTTGTTCTTGCAAAGGAAGATGTGCTGTCTGCCATCCGGGATTACCCTGAGGCACAGGTTAGTGGCTTCGCAACATTTGTAAATAGAAGAATATCACTCGGAAATTACCACCAGGTATTCGCAGATTTAGCTGGGGCATATTGGGTCACGAAAGGCGGTTAAACCAATCGCGTGCGAGCGAGAAGATTTATTACATGATCATATTATTCAGCCGCATGCTATCACATTTTAGCTTGCTTTTTCACAAAACAGTGGAACGGGTTAATAAGTCTGTAAGTAGCTGGCTTTCTTTCCTGAGATGTTCCCTGTACCAAGGATCTTTTGTTTCAAACTCATCTTTTTAGGCTGTGCTTGCTGACTATGGAAAAAAACGTTTGGAACGTCAAAACAGCTCACACGATCCGCGCTTCGTGGACATGGACGACAGTAAAGGCAGAGACTTGGACGCTTATGATCTCATAAACCATCAAAAAGCTGAAGAGTTTCAAAGCAAACTGACAACAAAATCCGTTCCCAACGGACTTTGTAGACGAACAAGTGCAAGCTTTTCACCACTCGAGCGAGCCCCTCAACCATCACCTCGAGCGGTCCTGGAGCCGATTCCTTTGGCTAAATTAAGCAGATCTACGCGACTCTCGAGCGAAGTGGAAATACAGTCTGCGGAATCATGTAACAGAAACGTTTTAGAAGCGCCATGCAGTAGCGACGAGCTTGTGAAAACGCTGTTTCATGATTCGTACATGGAAGCTTTGAACTTTCTCAAGAAAAATTTTGACGAGAACCTAGTAAGTTGGATACTGAAAAAACATTCTTAATAATCCTTAGTAACCCGCCTTAGTCATGAGTGCTACCGTGCAGCTTGTATTTCAGGATAGGATGTTGACTTGCCATGTATTAAAGTCAAATGAGGGATGAATAAATCTCTCCGTTTCCAAATTTCACCGGCTAAATCCAATAAATATTAATCCTGGATTAACTGCTTACAATTACGTCACAATATCAAGCCTTCTTAGTAAATATATTCACTTAAAAAGTAAAAAGTGTCACCGTCAGAAAAGGTAAGGAGCTTGTTCAAGGCAGCTTAAGATAGTTTCGTTAATTTTTTCATCATTAGTTCTTTTGCATATAGATACAACGAAACTTTTTTTCGTGTTTTGCCCTACAATTGGTATCAAATATGCTCAATTATTTTCACAATATGTTGTGATCAATTTGTGACATGTTAGGTTACCATAGTAACACAACAGCTTCTCAGAGACAACTTTAAGTGAGCTTTATTTTCTTGTAATTCAAAAATGAAAGAAAACCTGTACACAAGATTTAGAGCTAAAAGAGAATATCTTAAGGAAGCACACGAAAAAATAACGAAACCTTTATAAGTTGGTCGAAATCTAAGGGAAATATTTAGCTCCGGCAGACAAACTCGCAAAATACTGGAGAGAAATTATAACATTTGCAATGATTCATCTTTTCGTTTCAGGCAAAAGAAATGACGGATGTTCGCAAATCCCTAAAAAGTAGCGAAGAATCTAATAGACTAAAAGACGTTGACATCTCTCACCTCAACACCCGTCTATCAAACATGGTAAGTCGGTCATGTTACTTGAACCTAATCAATTGGTAGACTTTTACTTTTAAGTATATAACGAATGCTACATGATACTTTATGAGATCGTTGGAAATTTTGTTTTATTCATATGTAGGAGAAAGAACTTGAAAAGTGGAAAATTCGAGTAAAAGAGCTTGAGTCAGAAAACTTTATCAAAGATCAGACTATCAAACAGCTTCGGGAAGAGTCTGAGGTAAGGATAATGAAATCAGGTTCAAGGGAACGTCGTCTACCCCTTCGCCTGAAATTTCTCTATCCAACTTTCTTCCATTTTAAAAATCCTAGACCAGGACGCTCGCACTGCAGGCTAGACACGTGGGGTTTTAATTTCCATTTTACATCGAAACTTCAAAACTGATCAGTCTTCCCAATGTTAGGTCAGTTCTCCAAAGGCCATTTTGTTTGTTTTCGTGGATGAGAGATAGCCGGTCATCTGACTTAGAGGGCATTACAATGTGTGCTCTTTGTTTGAACGTTGTCTGTTTGGACTCAGCGCACTGTGGTTGGACCACGTAATAAAATGATGTTTCTTACCTTCCATCATTCTAGCTTCCAGGACGCCCCGTAAATGTACTGAGAAGAGACAAACATGTTATGGATCTGTAAGTTATCATAGTGTTCTGTTCCAGTGTCACTGCGCACTTGCACAGAAAGGCACCGAGAAAGCCAGCTATGGTAACGCACAACTTGAACACATGCACGTCACTGGATTACAGTATCACTGTTTATCGTGGTATTGGTCGCAATTAGAACAATTAAGACCTCAAACACTTTGATTCGAATAAAGTAGGCTGCTTTTCAGTTACATCTTTCATACACTACTGTGTGTCAATCTTTTAGGATAGGGAGCTCATGTCATCAAGATCAAGAACTATGAGCAGCACAGTGAGCTCGTCGTCTCTAATGGACATGGAAAGATCAACAACTACCTATTGCTGACAGAAATTGTGCAGCTACTAAGAGAACACCAGAATTAATCTGGGGATTTGGGATGGCAGACAAAATGTTATGAATTTTGAGATTGGGCTCAGAATTATATACAGCTGTACTTTTGACATGGCAGCTAGGCGTTAAGCGTTAACCCATTACACAGCTGGCTATCCACATCGAGATTGCTCACCATAATCTGCCTTGCAGTTACAAAAAGATGTATGGCCGCCATTGTTCCAAGAGCAGTGCATGGCAATGATCTGACGTAACTAGTAACATTATGATATGGTAATCATTTTAACAACTATTAACAGCCATTTTGTAATCGCACTATAATCATTTTGAAAGAATATTTGGATCAAATATACCTCTTATATCTTTTTTACCATCATCTCAGAGCTCTACAAAGAGATACTATAACAGAATCATTAAGTCTGACGCATTCATTCATCGCAAACGTGCGAATTGACAACTTTATTAATGTGCATTTTGCCAAAAAAAAAAAGAACATCACTAATTCATCTAGGAGAATTGACTTGATAATTTTGTAACTTTGGTAAATCCTCCAGAAACCATGTGACCACTTCAATCTAAATCAATGAAAAGGTAACTTAAAATCATAGCTCCATTTTGAGATTTTGCTTAGGGTTAAGGTTAACGTTAACCTAAGCTATCGAAAACTTTCTTCAGATGTACTGAAATTCGATTACGGATGAATCTTGCTTAGCAAGCCACGGTCAGCCTCTTGGCATAACAAAGCCAAGATTTCTCCTCCTTTTCTCATATCTTGGTAGCTAATGCAAGGCATTCTTATATTTGAACGTTAGGTTAGTGTTTGTAATCTCAGAACTTGGTAAGGATTAACTTATTGTTATGCTTTCTGATGACGGGGATAAAAAGAGCATGGTTTTCTAGAGCCTTCATTTCCTATATCAAATATAAGAAATTATTTCATGATTCCTCGATGGAGAAAAAATGAAGAATAACAGAAACCAACGATAAAAGAATCCGAACACCAGAAACTGGTGCACAAAGAAGTAGATAATATTTATACGGAAAGACATTGTTTTTATACCGCTAGAGTTACTATTATCAAAACCTATTATGCAGATTTTATGTTGACGGAAAATGTCACTTTGTTCAGTATAGCTTGAACCATCATTGTCCAGCATGCCTTATGATGCCAAATGAGATATTTAGTATTATATAAGGCTAACAATGAGGATGCCTATATCTTATTGGAGTAATTTTACCAATAAAATTGACTGCCAATGACATCTGCTCTTCTTCAGTGATAGAAATTATCTGACCGAAACGCCGAACTTGGCGCCGTTCCTTGAACATTCCGTTGGATAGTCACGAAAACCTGTTTACGTTTCCCTGTTTCACGTTTTGTCAGTTAAAAACGCTAAAAGCATCATTAAAAAAATAAGTGGTCTTTGTCTCAATCTCTCAATTATTATGTCCATGTGAGTGCTCAGTTTCTTCAAACGAATAATCTCGTCTTTAAATTTTTTTAGACAATTGGTTGACCAGTCGTTGTAGCCAGGAAGGATCCTGGAACAATAAGTCCGCTCACCAGTCTACTTAATACTTTTCAAATACACATCAAAGCTCCTTTTCGCTCATTCTGCCGTTTCTCAAAAACTAAGTAAGCGCCCTGTTACGAATAAGCGCCCTCCCTCCGAGTAGCAAAAGTAGATAAGCCTCCCGGCCGCTAATACGATTTATTAAGGTACTCTAAAGCATAAGTAATAAAACGCGGCTGCAAGGTCGATTTCCGCCACAGTCTCGAGTCCAATCGTGTTCTTAAGAAGATAAGGGTGTTGCGCGGGCTCTTTTCCCGCGCAGTGGTCGGTAATCGAGCCCATGTCGCTTTGGTAACTTAGATCACTCTTAGATAACTCTTACTGGGAATAGAGATACTTTCATTGGTGAAAGACAAGCCACCCTGGCTCCAATAAGTCCGCTGGCTAGAGAAGGTAGGATTGGGAAGGGAAGTGGTTTCATACCCAAGGTAACACGGTAACAAATTTATGTATCGTAACTTGCGCAGTGCGGATATTCCCATCTTTGCCTCCGGTCACAGTGACGACGCTACACAAAATTTGGCTTATTGTAATTCTTAACTAATGGCTTTATTCTATTATTTGAAAACATTCCAAAAATATTCCTCTTTTGAAACACTTATTAACTGGCAGTTAACCCTTTGACCCCTAAGAGTGACCACCATCTAATTTCTCCTGGTAATACCACCCCCCCCCCCCCC